TTGACAGCAGGGAAATAAAGTATGTAGGGATAGGCCATAGGTGGAAAAAGCCAAAGAAAAGGGAATAAATGTCCACAGAGGCATTGGAAGCTATAAGAAGTGCCTCAGATAAAAAATGGAGGTAGAAGAGTAAATACAGAATGGTAGAGAGAAAAATCATGAAATAAAAGGAAAAGGGCTCAATCCCCAAGTTGGCCAGATGAGATACCAATGAAAGAGGATTGGGAAAAAAAGAAAGGAAGAAAGTCTAGAAACCAGGGCAAATGTATTCATAAAATGAGGCATTTGGGCACAAGAAAGGTGCTAGTAGATAAAGGAAACAAAATAAAACCTAATAATTAGCAAGGAGAAAAAGACAAAAACTCTAAAACTGTGAATCAGAAGGTGGGAAAATGAAAAATAATAGAGAATACAGACAAAAGACAGACATACCTGGAAGTGAAATCCAGAGATATATTGAAAGGTTATGGTCATTTCATGAATGGTAAAGTACTCCCCAAAGCAAATCAAGTGAAAGTTGTAGTCTAATAGATCTTTCCCGGCTGATGAGAAACAAATTTGGTTGATGAGATGGGAGTAAGAGGCCTATTAAGCATATGGTGATCCAAAACATGTTGCAAATGGCTGCAACAACCCTGATAGTTAACAAGCCTCCAAAAGTCACAGCAATAATAAAGCATATATGTGAACAACGTCCCACACTCAGGACAAAGCATTTGAGAAATCATGATTAAAATTAGAAAAGCTTTTGAAACGAAAGCTAAAGAAAACAAAAATCAAAGTTGCATTAACAAAGCAAATCACAATAAATTGAACACAGATGTGAAATTTAAACATGAATGGCAAGCTCATAACCAATAGAAAGAGCAGATTTCTCAGTCTAATTTCTCAAGCTTACCAGGAAACATATGCCAAAATTATTTTCTAAAGGAAAAGCAAACTTCCACTAAATTCATTGTTGAGATCAATGTCCCTAACACTCAGGAATTTTTTCTCATCTTATACATATAAGTTTGACAGAAAGTTAAACTGCAATTAGGTCATAATTTTATCTTTTACTTAATTATTTGTGTTTTAAAATTAATATTTGAAAGTTTTAACGATTTTTTAATATTATTCTAAGCTTTGCCTTACTCAAAAAAGTTTTTCCTAAAAAACCAAGTGAAAACTATTTAGTCAGAGGCTAAATCATCTCTACCAATGATAACATTATATCACCTGCGGACACCCATTGAAGAGTGTCGACGTAATACTAAAGGATAAAGAACTGGAAAGAAAAATAAAAAAATTTGTGAAAAGGTAAAGACTTGGAATTATACATATGATCCAAAGATGATATTTTAAAATTATTCAATGAAAAGATACAGAGTATGTATATATTTAAATTTCTTAATTTTAAACATTTCATTGCACTGTACATTGATGATAATAGCTAGAGTTGGTGATACGGTAGAAAAAATGGAAAAAAAAATCTAAACATATACCTTAAAAACTTTTTATATTTATTTAGGAGGTTCTAGAGATTATGCAAGTGAAACATGCAAACTGTACGATAAAAAATAGTATTTTTATGCTTAACATGAAAAATTACCTTTCAGGTAAACTATTCACAGCCCAAATACAAATAACTACATTAAATAAAGAATTTTTATTAGAATTAGTAGAAAAAAGTTTTATTTTTGGAATGAAATATAACAAGAGCGATATTACCTACTAACAATCTGCATTGCCAGTAGTCATAGGGTTAAGTGGGAGTTGCCTCAAGACTAGTGGCATGCAAACTTTTTGACAGATAGTTAATCTATGTGAGAAAGATGAGTTATTGTCTTGGAACTCATGAACTTCACCAAGAATCATCCAATACAATCTTGTTAAATATGATTTCAGAAATTATCATTTTGAGAAACTTCCGAGTTAATTAATGGCCATATTTTATATTAATGCCATGCAAAATTTTCAACTAAAATTTAATGCAATATCATTTATATTTTAAAAGATCTTCTTAAGTGTAATTTTAATTAATACTAGAGAACTAACTTTAGCATTATACAATTTTGTGCTATAAATATCTGAATAAAATATTGCACAATATTCATCATTCATAATGTTTTTTTGAAATTAAAAATGTGACAATCACTGATGTATTTAATCACATAAATGTGTTAGTTGTTTTAAATCACATATTTACTTAGATACATATAGAGTCACAACAATGACTAGTTTCTTCTTACCGAAATATGTGCTCCAGTTCATGAATTGCAGTTAAAAGTTTTTCTTTTGTCCATTTATGATCTCCCATTGAATAAGCTCTCTATATGTTAAGGAAAAAGAAAGGTGGATGTGTGAATAACTGAATATTATACATTTTGGTGCAAGTAGATAAATCTAAGGAAATACTTCATCAACTACCAATTCTAAAATTTTTGTATTTGTATTCAAATATTTTTCCTGAAGTCCCTAAAAGAACAACAAAATTCAGTTGTTAAAATTGACCACACTTTTCATTACTTTCCTTGAATTTTTACACATAACCTGGAGGACATATTGGATGGTTACAAAAGATAAAAATAGAACTTTCAAAAAGTAACATCATAAAACTACCACAAGTGATTAACAAGTCCTCAGAAAACCAACTTTCGAATACACATTCTACAATTAGGTGTATTACAAAAAAAAAAAAAAAAAAAA